GAGCACTGCAGTAGGCCTGTGTTGGAAATGTTGGCCAGGAAACACGGTGGTGTGTTGAAGTGGCAGGCAATTGGAAGCTTGGGGTTATTTTTATGGACAGGACAGAGGTGTTCTGCAAAGTGGTCACCCCAGTCTGCGTTTCTTCTCTCCAATATAGAGGAGATCACATTGTGAACAATGAATACTATAGACTAGATTAAGTGAAGTGCAGATAAATCGCTACTTCACCTGGAAGTACTGTCTGGGCCCTTGGACAGTGAGGAGGAAGGAGGTAAACTGGTAGGTGTTAGATCTTCAGCAATTGCATGGAAAGGTGCCATGGGGGTCTGGGGAGATGTTGGGAATGACAAGGAGTGGAGCAGGATATCTCAGATGGAACAGTCTCTGCGGTAGCTGCACTCAACCTGTTCTTTAAGAATTGTTGTTGACATTGGTTACTTTAATTTCTCTGCTTTCTTCACCGATTTGAAGATATCTTTCTCTGAACTGACTGCACTTCATGCACTCAGATACAATCCTGACTTTGTCATTATGCCTGCAGACAAGGGAGGCGTTGTTATGTTGTTGTTGTTGGCACACTGATCTCTGCATTGCACCTCTTCCTATCTCCCCCTGGATCACGACTTCACCATCGATCATTAGGCCACTATTTCCTGACTGTCACCAACCGCATCTCATCTTGGGATCTCCCAAAGACAGCCTCTCAGCTCATAGTTCCCCAACCCCAAATAAGTCCACTACCTCCTTCTCTCAGAATCCATACACAGGACAGGCCCAGGCAGACACATTGTTTCTTCCTGTTCTTGCCCCACAGAACTTGCTTCGACCTACCTTGACTTGATTGTTTCTCTCCTTGTCCAGTCCCTCCCCACTTACATCCATTATTCTTCTGACACTTTATGTAGGTTTCAAAATTTCCAGTTCATGGGCTCCGGCCACCTCCTCTTCACCAAACATGTCCATCTCCTGGTGAGGATGGTCTTAGAGTTCTCTGCTTCTTCTTGGAATGAAAGCCTAGACCATCCCCATCCATCGTCACCCTCCTCCACCTGGCTAAGCTCATCCTCACTTTGAACAACTTCTCCTTTAACTCCTCTCACTTTTTTCAGGTCAAAGGTGTGGCATAGGCCCCAATTATGCCTGTCTCTTTGTAGGGTACGTGGAACATTCCTTGTTCTGGTCCAACTCCAGCTCTCACCCTCAACCCCTCCTTCAGTACATCAATTATATTGTCGGTGCTGCTTCCCTTTCTCATTCGGATTTGGAAAAACTAATTCCACTTGCAATTTCCACCCTGCCTCACCTTCATCTTCCAGCTCTGACTCCTTCTCTTTCTTGACATCTGTGTGTTTCCATATCTGGGGATAGGCTGGCCACTGATACCCAGTACAAACCCAATGACTCCTACTGTTACCTGGAATGTACATCCTCACACCCTGCTTCCTGTAAGGAGTACATCCCATTCTCCCAGTTTCTCCATCTCCATTGCGTCCATTCTGATTATGGCAAACTCCGCAGGGGTTCCACAGAAATGTCCACCTTTTCTTCATCCCCTCCTTTGTCAGCATTCCACAGGGAATGCTGCATCTGGGATAACCTGCTCCACTCTTCCTCCACTCCCAACACCTGCCGACACCCCCACAGCACCTTCCCATACAACTGCTGAAGGTCTAACACCTGTCTATTTACCTCCTCCCTCCTCACTATCCAGGGTCCCAGACATATCTTCCAGGTGAAGCAGTGCTTTACTTGCACTTCATCCAATCTAGTCTACTTTATTCACTGTTCACAGCGTGGTCTCCTCTACGTTGGGAGAGATGAAACGCAGACTGGGGTGACCGCTTTGCAGAATGCCTATGTTCTTTCTGTCTGTAAAACTAAACGCTGAGCTTCCAGTTGCTTGCCACTTCAACACACCACTGTGTTCCCCAGCCAACATCTGGCTCAGGCTTGCTGCAGTGCTCAACTTGGCAAAACTCAGCACAAGCTTCAGGAACAGCATCTCATTTTCTGCCGGGGACCCTGCAGACTCTGGGACTCAACGTCGAGTTCAATGACTTTAGATCCTGATTCTGTCTTTCCATGTTTTTTACCCGCCCCCCGACATCCTGGTCCTGTCAGGACAGACAACCCATTCACAAAGCTCTCATTATCAATTAACCAACTTCTCTTCTGTCCTGGTCTACTAGCAATAATTCCCTCATCTACCTAACCCTTTCACATCTCTCTCTCTCTCTCTCTGGGTTCCATCTGAACCTATTCAGTCACCTCCGCCCACCACAAACCTCATTGTCAGCATAAGTACCAGTTCTTCCCAGCTGTTATCAGTTCTGAAGAAGAGTCATCGGACTCAAAATATTAACTCTGCTTTCTTCCCACAGATGCTGCCTGGTTTGTTGAGTTTCGTCAGCAATTTCTGCTGGCAACATCCGCAGTTTTTGGTTTTACATTATAGTTAAGCTTTACCATGTCCTGAGCTAAATTGGAATGATTGTAGTACAGCAGTAGGCCATTCAACCAATCTAGTGTATGCCAGCTCCCTGCAAGAGTGCCTCATTCCCCTGTTCTTTCCCCACACTCTGCAAATTATGTCCTCTTTTGATAATGATCCAGTCACTTGAAATGCCTTGACAGAACGTGCTTCCACCACAATAATCAGGCTGTGTGTCCCAGATTCTGACCACATTCTGCATAAATAAGCCTTTTTGCCAATCTCCATCAGTCAGTATCTTCTTGTTCTAAATCCTTCTTATTTCCTATCTATGTTATCCCCACTTACAATTTTGAACATCACGATTACATCTTCTAAAGAGAACAGTCTCAGTTTCTCCAATCTATCACATTTTTTTGAAGTCCTCTCTCTTGGTGCTGCTCTAATAAATCATCTCACCAGTTGCTCTAATACCTTCAGATCCGTTTTGAAAGTATGATGCCCAGAACTGTATGCAATATTGCAGCTGAGATCAAACAAATGTTTTACACTTGTTTGTGATAACTTTGTTGCTTTTGTACTCTGTGACTCTATTTCAGAAGCCTAGGTTCTTGTATGCTGTATTCATCACAATCTCAATCTGTCCTGCCACTTTCAATGACTTGTGAACATATGCTCCCAGGTTCTTCTGCTCTTATACCTCCTTTAGAAATTGTACATTTTGTTTTATATCACCTTTCTTCATACACCATACCTAAATCAATAGTTTTTTTTCATTATCTTTTATCAGTCCATCAGCCTAACGAAGTTCACAATACCTCTAAGTTTTGTGCCATTCACACATTTTGCCTATACAACCATGTCCAGGTCACTAATATACATCAAGACAATTAGATTCTGACACAAACCGATGATAAACCATTGACCTTACAGCACTTGCATTTCTTGTCACTTAGGCAATTTTGTATCTATGTTTCTACTGTCTCTTACATTCCACAAGTTCTAACTTTGCACACAAACCTACTGTCATGTGGCATTTTGGAAATTTGTGCAGACTACATCAAACTCAACACCTGCATACATGTTCTGTGTCACCTCATTAAAAATACTAAGCAAGTTAGTTAGTTGCAATTGATTTGAACAAATCTGTGCTGAAATTCTACAGGATTTATTGGGTAGAAAGCTAAGAAAGAACACTGGTTGAGTCTCCTTTCTTTAACTTTGGAGCATGCAAGTCAATTGTGGTGCCTATATTTTTTGATTGAGATCACTCAATTCATACATCAATAGATCTTCCTAACCTGTACCAACCACGACACCTGGTTTATTTAAGATCTGAGTATAGTCCAGAGTCTGATCTACACTGTCAAAGATATCGAGCAAGGTGCTAGTCAGCTGGATGTAAAGAATTCTGTGCTATTTGATGAAAAGCAGCAAGTTTGCTTATTGTCCTAGCTATTCTCACTTGCTGAATGGCTGTGGCATCTGGGAAAAATTTTGCAGCTTCTCTAATGAAGTTTTGCATGATGCTAATGTCATACCTCATTTGACTAAACAGGGTGATTATTAAATCTATAAATACTTCTGATGTGCCTACAGCAGGCGGTATGAGTGTTTCCTGGTAAGCCAGAAACATGTCGCAGTAGGTAGTGTAACAGCCACCCTGTGTTAAAGGACCACACTTTCAGGTTCTTGGCCCTGAGCAAGAATCATCCTCATTCTGAAGGATGGATGGACACACGGACCCCCACACACACACCCCACACACACACCCCACACACCACACACACACCATAACACTAAAAGAGTTATCCAGTATGCACTACCAAGTCTTCTAGTAGAATTTTTTTTCAGATTACACGTTTTTTTTAAAATTTGCTTTAGTTTGTTAATCCAAATGATGTGTCAAAGGTGTCATTTTAAACTAAATTAGTTTCCAAATAAGAAAATCATATGGCAAATTTAAGCCAGAACAGCTGCATTCATTACCCTTGTTTTTATAGCTTTGCTGGGTAGAGTTTGCATTTAGATCCCCAGTGTAGCACCTAACCTTCAACTGTATCTACTTTCAATCTAAAACTAGTGAACAACTTTAGCCTTCATTAATTTAACTCTTTGTCAAACAGCCAGATATGCTTTTCAATTCTTTTTTGATAATCATGTTCCATACTCTCAGGAGAAATTTCTTCCCATAGGACTAGTCCCCCAGCAACCTACACATTTCCTTCCTTAGCTATTGCTCTATTTCAGAGTCTTTTAAATGTACTGCTGTCGCAATATAGCCAACTTTTTTTCAGGATCATATTAGTTTTTCTATGCTACAGTGAAAAATACAATTTGATTTATGGAAAGAATGTTGTAAATTTAGCAACAGCTTACAGTTTACTGCATTGCTTCTGAATATTCACTATGAAAATGATTGTGAAATCATTTTTATTAGTTTTGTGATGGACAATCTCTATAGATTTTAAAAGCTGCAAATCACAATCAACCCTCAAGGGATTAATCTTTGAGCGTATGGTGTTGTGTCTGTTTCTATGGTAACTATCCTATACACAGCAGTTCTTACCAGCTTGCCCATACATCGCTGCTGTTCAACACCATCAATGCATTTGTGATGGATGCTCATCTTACAAGCCTTGCAGCGCAGCCCAAGTTTGGCATTGGTGCCTGTCAAATAAATACACATCACAAGTTAAATTAATAATTTCCATGTATCCAGTTAGCAATTAAGTGATCTGAATGAACAGAGAGTGTACTTAATGGCAAAAATTAACCTTAAGCTACATCAGTACAGATGGCTACAAATAAATAACAATTGAACTCTCTTGAAACCATGTTAGGCTTAATTTTGTATAATTCGTTTTTGATTTTTTTTGTTCAGCAAACTCTGTTTCCTTCAATGCTTGGTTTAAACCCACACTATAATTAATTATAGAAATTATAAAACAGGAATAGTCTGTTTGATCCAATTAGTCCTGCATTGTGAGCAACAGCCCTAAGCACATTCACCTGTCCTGCCCACAAATTCCTTCATTCTATTTTCCCTCAGCCACCCTTCCTTAAATATTAACAATGCTCCTCCTCTAATCACTAACTCTGGTAGTGAATTCCATAATATCTCAACTTTATGAATATGAAACATTTCTTCTACTCCATGGCTTAAATCTCCTAGACTCAATCTCATACCCATGGTGCCAGATCCTAGACCTCTTAATTATTGGAAATTGTCTATGATACCTTTTCATAGTGTCATGCACCTCTGTTTAAATGTGACCTGGTATGATTTCTCCTAATATCCTATCCATAAAGGAGCACTAGGTTCAGCTGGATTTCTCCCAATCATAACAATACTGTATCTGTCATGACCATGAACTGGCATATTACCTTGTCTTGGCACAATTCATTGCAGCATAACACATTCATGCTACACAGAGGGGAATATGTAGTTTAAATGAGGCCTGATCTTTCTGGGTTTTAAACCACTAAATGGAGAGAAACAGAATTAATGTTTCAGGTCAAAGATATTTCATAAGAACTAAATTCTTAGCCTGGTGAGTTCCGACAAGAGCTCATTGACCCGAAACGTTAATTCTCATTCTTGTCACAGATGCTACTCGATCTGCTGAGTACTTCCAGCAAGTTTTGTTTTTAGTTTAGATTTCCGGCATCTGCAGTAATTTACTTTAAGTCACTGAAGTGCACTGGAGATTCTGTTAATCAAATGGAGCTACATGATTTAGCAACGTAAAGACTATTTCAATTATCATAAGGAATGATACACTTGTCAATAGATGCCATCAATAGTATGTTTCATAAATACGGAATGCTTTTAAAACATGCTTTACAAACCACAAAGTGTAGCACAAGGAAATAAAAATTGATACTTCTACCTCAATTATCATTATAATTATGAATTAAAAATCATCGCTTATTAAGAAATTGGATTCTGGCTCTGTTTTAAGTCCTTAATACTCTTAAATGTCCCAGAACAAATCAACAATCCAATTTTTGCGCAGTATTTTGTAAACTGCTTAAAATATTTAGAGTGAATCAATTTGTTTGGCATTTTAGCAACAGGATAACAAGAAGCATTGATTAAGGAGTTGGGCAAACCAGTAGAAAAGAGAATTCAGTATGGGAAGACAAGTAAGTATTTTCTAAAATAGAAAAACACTACCAACTGTATGACAGCAAAGAGATTTGAGAGATTGAAGTGCACAGTTCATTTACAGCCAGCAGTAATCAAGAGAATTAATGGTATATCGATCTTTTTCTCAAAAGGATGGCAATACAAAAGGTGGAGTTATTGCTGCAGTTGTTTCGAGCTTTGGTCAGATATTATCTGGATTTGTAGGCACTGCACCTCGAAAAGCATACATTGTCCTCGGAAGCCATACCGTGCTGATTCACCAGAAAGAGGGTTAGATCAGAGGAAAGAAAAACTCATTTCTCTGGTGTGGAAATGAAGAACAAGGAATCATAATCTTAAAATCTGAGCCAGGCCACGAAGGAACAACATCAGGGAGCACTTTTTCACATAAAAGGTTAGTGGAGTAGTGAAATTGTCTTCACCCAAAAGGGCTGTAGATGCTGGCACAATTGGAGCCATCAAGAGTGAATGAGCAAAAAACTTGGCAGACAGAGCGTAGGAAGGGATGAGGTGAAGTGTGAAGCAGAATCAAATGGCAGATTGTTATCATATGGGAAAACAGTCCGAAAGCGGAGAGAGATCTTGGTGTTCTAGTGAAATATTAAAAAAGTTAGTATGCAGATAAACATACAATGTGGCAAAGTTTTGTGGCAAGCCAGAGTATTGGGAAAGTTTTAAAAACCAACCAAGTATAATAAATAAAAATTGAGGGAGGAAATAACCTTCAAGGGTAAACTAGTAAGTAATATCAAGTTGAAGTGCATGGACTTCTTTAATTATAAAGAAAGGAAAAGAAAAGCCAAAGTGAACATAGGTTCCTTGGAGAATGCGGCTGTGGAAATAATAATGGGGCACCAGGAAATGGCAGAGGAGTGAAATAAATACTTTACATCAATCTTCACAATAGAAGACACTTATAAGACCAAGATTACTATATATTCAGGGGGCAAAAGGAAGAGAGGAAATAAATATAGCGCTAGTGAAAAAATGCTAGGGAAACTAAAGTTGAAGACCAACAGTCCCCTGGACCTGATGGGATCCATCCTAGGATATTAAAGATAGATGCTACAGATATAGCGGACGTATTGGTAATAATTTTCCAAGAATCCTGAGATTCGGGAAAAGTCCCAGAGGACTGGAAAACTGCTGATGTAACTCCTTTACTGAAAAGGGGAAGGTGACATTAAAAAAAAGTGTTTAGGCCAGTTAACTGAATGTCTGTAATTGGGGAACTATTAGAGCATATTACAGAAAATGTAATAACAGAGCATTTGAAATGCATATTATGATGAAGCAGAATCAGCATGGCTTCATGAGGGAAAATGATGCCTGAAAAGTTTACTAGAAGTCTTTGAGGAGGCAACAAGCAGGAAACAAACAGGAAGCAGTGAATGTAATAGATTTGAATTTTTAAAATACATTCAAAATGGTACACATTAGGCTACTTATTAAGACCCTATGCTGTTAGAAGTAGTATATTAGCACAGATGGACGATGGCTAACTAACGTAAGACAGAGTTGGGATAAGAGGAACCTTTTCAGAATAGCAAACTGTAATTACTGGTGTACTTAAGCCAAGGTCACAATTAATTACTACGTACAAGGAATCGCCAAGTTAAAATAGGGGTCCGTTAGTTTGGTTGACTGGACAGTTTGTTTGCTGAGGTGATCATAAAGGACTTTCCTTCTCAATCTCTCCCCTCGCTTGTAAGAGCAACCCTCTGGGATGACGACGACATATATGCAGACTTATTTAATATTCTTACAATGATGTGTTGATAATACCAAAACTTATGTTGCCTACAAAAAATCTTAAACTCAGTGCAATAGAACTCTTCAAAGTATCACTTGAAAGATGTGCAAATTCTAATAATAGCAATTATTGTCCAGAGATTCATCCTTATAAATACGAAAAACATTGACATGCTTGCACATTTCACAAGGAGACTGCTTACCGACGATCATGTGGTTGCAGGTGTCACAAAAGGTTGGTTTCTTGAAAATGTATTCGAGGAAAGAGTGCGTCCTGTTCTCAGACTGCCTCTGGGTTTTCGTTGGGGTGCATGTTTGACTTTCGGAAACTGGGAGCTGTCCAGTGCTGGAACTGACTCCAGGCAGCAGTTCTACCTGCAGCTTTGTTTCACTGCCTGTCCTTTGGAAGAAGTTCTCTGCACTTTTACTGCGGACACCTTTTGTTTTAAATGACAGTGACCGTTTTAGCTTCTGCAGCTGCAATCGAACAGAAATGTTTTTTAAGTAGATGAGACACATGGTGAAGATGTAGAAAAAAAAAACAACAGATATCTAGCTACGGATGTGCTGAACCCCAGAGCTCTAGCTTTGCATCTGAGAGTATACAAGGTTACCTTAGCTGAGTTGTTTTTGAAACTGTATCCTTGGAAAATGCAGTTATCACATTTCTGGGCGCTCATTGTTTGTCTTCAATTAACGAGACAGTGCTGGCATTGATGGGGCATGATGAGGCCTGGCATTGATACTGGCAAATGCTGTTTCTATCTGTTTGAAATATTCTCAGTAATCTCTTATCAGCACAACTGATTTCCATCCTTCCTGGATGCCATATTGGCTGATATTGTAAAGGTTCCCTCTCCACATACTTCCCCTGGGCCTCCTTCAAATCTGCTATATCTAACAATCTGTTACCTTTTGATGACTTGCTGAAGACTTATTTATTGTATAACTAAAAAGTGAGTGGCCGTAAGATCTTTAGTAGTGAATGGAATTGGTTCCATGTCACATGATGTTGCTTTCTGAAGCTTACAAACATGATGCTATAGCAGGAGTCATAAGGCAGTGATAAAGAGGCGAATCCCAGACAAGGTTCCCTTCCACAATCCAAATTCCCTGAGGCCATCTAGGACCACTTGCCTTGGTTCAGCTAGAGGCCTATTACATTTTTAGTTTGCATTCATATTCCTCTTGTTTCAGCACAACAGATAAGTGATACATCATTAACTAGCTTACCACACATTATGATTGAAAGGCTAATGTCATCTAAAAGGCTAAACTAATCTTGCTGTCTGCCTCAAGCCTCTTTCTTTTTGTTGCCTTTGATAGGTATCCTGACGATCCCTTGTGTTTCGTATGTCATCACCACCCACCTGATATCCTTCTCCAAGCTGTCAAACTTTAATTGTTCAGCATTTGGTCCTCAATTTCCATGACACTTCAACTATGAATCTGCTCAATCATACTCTCAGCTCCAACTATAATGCTCTTGTTTCTATCAAAGCCTTTCACCTCTCCTGTTGTTGATCTCCCTGAAGGAGGGGTTTCATCTTTCATCTTCAAGCTATCAATTTCAAGGATGTAGACTTGGGATACAACTAGATTAGACAATCATTTCCAGGTCTAGCTAGGCCATACTAGAAATTGTTGAAGGCTTCATGCAGTATTCCAAAACCATCTTGGAACACGAAGATGATAATACTTTAAATAAAATGTGGAAAATGTAATCAAATGCAGTTTTTTTACTTCTTTCCTCATTCTCACCACTAAGCTTATTTTCTCAGCATCTCTCCCATGCTATTTTCACCTACAAGTGGAAAGAGCTTATGCACTTTTTTGTTAATAAAATTAAGACCAATGGTTCAGCTGCCTCTGCTACATGCCTACTTTCCTTTTGCCACCAAGGTATAGTTCCCCTTTCCTAACCCTGAACTTGTATCTTGTTTCAGTTTCTGTACAATTTCTTACCTATTGTGTATGATCTCATAGTATCCACAGGTTTCTGATCTCTTGATTTGTACCACTGAACTGATTTCCATCCTTCCTGGATGCCATACCTCCCTTTTGCTGCTCCTCTTTATAAAATGATACATTTTTAGTCTTAAGCTATTTTAATCATTGTCAACAGCTTCTCATCAACCAATAAACTCACAGGTTTCCTTGGATTTTTTTTTCACATTCAACATCTCTCAGTGCTGAAGATGCTCCCTACTCTCTGTAATGTTTTCATACTTGCTGCCTTCTTTCTCTTGGTATTGTGTTCATAATGAAGACATACTCCTCCCTCCACACTCTTCATTATTCTGGCTGTCTCCTCTCTCGGCACTGTGTCTCGAATGTAGCAGTGAAGTGTTTACTGTATTTACTGTATTGACAGATGTTTCAAGTACTAGGTTTGCCAACAAAGGAATCCACATCAAGCACAAGTGGGATGTGGTGCCAGGCCATTGCAATAATCTGGTTTTCCATGAACAGAATTACCAACTGTAGACAGTATCAAACAAAGCAACTGAATGAGTCTGCACAGGTGTTCTGGTTTACATCCATCTGATGTCACCTTGAGAAGAACAGGTGATATCTTAGCTATGGCCTTTCAGCACCCCAATGACATACAACAGAGTGCTCTCCAGCATATTGTTAGCGAGTGTACAGCTCTGACATGTGAAGGATGATTGTGGAAGATTGCTGTACCCTCATGGGCTCCAAATCCAGTGGTCATTGGCCAAGGACAACTGAGCAGTCAAAGCAGTCCATCTCCGGTTCTGATTCAGCCATGAAGAAAAGAAAGAGTAAAGGTTGGTAATTTCAGAAGACTATATACATCAATGCATCAGACACTATTATATTCTTATATACTTGCTCCTACTTGAAACACACATTATGTTGCACCACTTCACCATCTTGCCCATACTTGGTTACTGGGAGGCAAGTGATGTTTTCAGTTGTTTTAATGACAGGTAGGGAGTCAAAAATTGATGGCATATGAGGAATATGAAAGGGATGCTTGATTGTTGCAGCACTTTAGAGTTTGTGGTTTTCAGTGTGGATTTGGAAAAATGCATCTTATATATGTTAGATAGGTACACCAGTATAACCTTAGTGAACCTCATAAAAATTGGACTTCCTGGCCTCAGGAGACATCACTGCCCATAGGAACATGGAAGGAGGACATTCAGCACATCGAGCTTGCCTGTCATATTAGAAGATGACTAATCAACTTCTGTTTTTATTCCGTCTTCATTGGCTGGGTCAGAATTAATTGACTGATTACTAGCCCCAGTTGGTCTGAAGAAACTGATGGTGAGCAACTTTCTTGAATTGTTGCAGTCTAGTTGTAGGTACACTTGTTATGTGGTTAGGGTGGGAGTTCCAGGATTTTCAACCAGCGACAATGAAGGTCAAAATTCCTGATGTCATTTTTCCACTCTGTCTCTGTATCCCTTAATGTCATTAGTCTACAGAAATCTACTGATTTTTACTGAGAGCTTGCTCAATGATTGAGCTTCCACAGCACTCTGGGAAAGAATTCTAAAGATTCACCACCCTCTCAGTGAAGGAACTTCTCATTTCAGTCTGATATGGTCTGCTTAATCTGAAGTCACCAGTTAGGGGAAATATTCTCTCTATATCTACTGTGTCATGCCCTGTAGGAAATTCATATTTCCCAATGATAACACTTCTTGTTCTTCAAAATCCGAGGGACCCAACTTCTTCAACCTCTCCTCGTAAGACAATCCCGCCATGCCAGGTTTTAATCTAGCGAACATCCTTTGAACAGTCTTTATGACAAGTCCATATGTTCTTAAATAAGGAGGCCAAAACTGTTCACTGTACTCCAATTGAGATTTTACCAAGACAATATATAATTGCAGTAACACATCTTTACTTCTGTACTCAAATCCCTTTGAAACCATTGCTGATATATTACTTGCCTTCCTCATGACTTGCTGCAGCTGTATGCTAGCTTTTAGTTGTTTGTAAAGCGTTACAGGGCAATCTTGCGATTATGTAATTGTGCTGCATTTTACTGAGTGTAAATACAGTAGTCTGGACAAAGTTATAATACACTTACACTGCATTGTACTCCACTGCACTGTGTTGCCTGAAAGAACACCATGAGATTAACAATGTGGACCAGAAGATTCCCATGAACACATACAAAAGACTGATTAGCCCTTACTTAATGTAATTATAAGATCAGAGGCTGGTATATCATTGATTAAAACTAAACACTGTTATACATGCCAATGTACAATAAATTATGTTACTTTGAAATCGCAATCTGAGGATACTTCTTGAATTTGCTTTCTCCCCAACCACTGCTTCCAAACCAAAACTCAGTGTGGCAAGAAATCACACGAGAAAAGGCTTATGATTTATGGACAAGGACACCCAGATTCTTTTGCACACCTACATTTCCCAGCCTCTCATCATTTAAGAAACATTCTGCCTTTCTGTTTTTTCTACTATAGTGAAAAACTTCACATTTATGCATATTATATTCCATCTGTCACATTCTAGCCCATTCACTAAACCTGTTCAAATCCTCTTGAAGCCTCTTGGCATCCTCCTCACAAATTATATTCCCATTTAGTTTGGTGCTACCCAGCAAATGTGGAAATTCAACAACTGGTTCCCACATCGAAATCACTTATATAGATTATGAATAGTTGTGGACGTAACACTGACCCTTCTGGTACCCTGCTTGCAACAAACTGGTCTTCTGAGTGGGATCCATTTATTCCTATTCTCTGTCATACAGTTATGCAGCACAGAAGTGGCCCTTTAGCCCATCAAGTCTGCATTGACCTATAATACTACTGTCCTGTGTGGTGCCTAATCTAAAGTCAAAAAGCCTTCTGAAAATCAAAATACACTACATTCACTGGTTCTTCTTTGTCTATGTTAATTGGTAACATCCAAAAAACTCTGAGTTTGTCAAGCATTATTTCCCTTTCATAAATCCATATTAGTTGTGTCCAATTTTGCCAATCCTTTCATGTGTTCATTATCACATCCTTTATAGTAGATTATAACATTTTGCACTACTGATATCAGATGAACTGGTCTGTAGTTCTCAACTTATTCTTCCTCTTCTTAAATACTAGGATTATACTTGCTACCTCCATTATGAACCTTTCCAGAATCCATGGGATCACAAAAGATATCTACAGATGTGTTTACTATCCCTATTGCAATTTCTTTCAATGTTCCAGGATGAAACTCTTCTAGTCCAGGTGTTTTCTCAATTCTCAACCCAGCTAATTTTTCAAGCACTCCCTCTTCACTAATATTAATATCTGGCAGTGTTCGGTTACAGAAGTCTCTTGGTTGGGGGTGGGGCTGGGGGGAGGGTAAGTTTATTTTGAGAGATTTGTATCCTTTCCTATTCAAACAGATGTAATGGTTGTTTAGTTTCTCCACTATTTCCCTGTTTTCCACTAAAATATCCCCTGTCCTCACCTCTTACGGCCCTAAAT